AGTCGTTTTCTACAATAACAGCACATTCAATGCAGCAGCAACAGGTTGCGTTGCAAAACCATTTTAGCGGCGCTCTTGTGGCAGTTAACGAGCGCATAGCAAGGGTAGAAGAGATGCTTCGCGAGCAGGCCCTTCAAGTCAGTGAAAGCCAAACCATCCAGGTGGGCTCGTCGTACATTGCATCTCAACCTCGTCGAAGACTGCCGGGGATATCTAAACCCACCGTGCTACCCGCTTCCCCGCGCTCGGAGGGTATCGGTGTGAGAATCGCACCATTCATCGTTACCTGCGGACCAAAGTGCATTTGCGCATGTCATCGTGAGAAGAAGTCAGCGACTCCTGCATTCCTTGACCGGGTTGTTGGACGGCTTTTTGTCGGATACTCTGGAATTCCCGTCTTTAGTCCGAGATGTACACTCGATACCTGCCAAAAGTCACGAGCAAGTCAAGTCACCCTGGAGTACTGGTTCCCGATCGACTTCTGGTCGTCCACAATTGTTAGAATGCAGGTGGGCTATCAGCCTAATGTTGGATCACTGTTGCAGTTGGATACGCTGAGACGAGTACCGGACACCGCGCAGTGCGTGAACTTTGCTCTCAACGGGGATATTGAGGGCTTGAAATATCTCTTTACTCATGGCCTCGCCTCTCCGCGGGACATCAGTACTACTCGAGGATATTCCGTCCTTCGATGGGCGCTGTACGGAAAACAATATGAGACTTGTGAGTTCCTTATTCATGCTGGCGCAGATCCAGACTACAGACCCATCGCTGCAAGCGACAATAGCCCGAAAAACAAAGCTTGCCATTTTCTTCTCGAAGGGGGGCTGCCAGACAATGCCGTCAAGGCTCTTCGCACGATAACAAAAGGCGGATATTTAGATGAGTTCATAGAGAACTCCAATTTTACCCAGACTCACAAGATTATCCTAGGCATATCCATGAACAACCTGGAGGAGGAGATTATTCAACATCCTGAGGATATCAACGCTGTTGATGCAATGCGCCGGACTCCACTAGCTTGGGCAGCGGCAAGAGGGGACACTCGAGCGATCGTCACTCTGCTAAGTCAGGGAGCTGACCCCAATATCATGGATATGCAACTCTCAGGCCCCTTATCAAATGCAGCGGCGCAAGGCCATACTGTCAGTGTTCGTCTTCTCCTGGAAGCCGGTGCATATCCCGATACCGCCAAGTTCACCGGAGTGAGAAAAGGGAGCCCCCTCAACTGTGCCGCACGGAATTCTCGAAGTGTCGTATTGCTCAAGAGTCTCTTAGACTTTGGAGCAGAGGTAGATGCCTCTGGAACAGATGGCAAAACTGCCCTCCTCCAAGCGGCACGTATCGACAATCCCAGTTTTGCTATGCTCCTGCTGGAATATGGAGCAGATATCAATGCCACTGCTGCCGATGACTCGACCCCTCTTACGACTGCAATCACCTATAACAGCCACAATGTCCTTCGGCTGATCCTTGATCGTTGGCATGAGTACTCTTCTTGTCCCCGTCTCAAGGGACCGCATCTTTTGCAGATTGTCGCGCTGTATGCTGATTTGGAGACCATTAACATCCTCGCGGGAACTGACCATTTCCGGGCGAAGTATGACAATCGATATACTCATGGGGATTTCTCTGATCACCTGCGCCAGCGGCCCGATTTCACGGAAAAGTTGGCGGTTGCGTTCGATGAGCTTCTGACTATCATTAATCAGCGACCAGTTGTGGATGAGTCGCTGGACAGCCTGATGGAGGCTGGGTTTTTCTCTTGTTTACCTTCCCGAGTCAACTCGCGACAGGAAGATATGCTCCAAGAGCCCGGCAGTCCTGCCAGCTCGGATGAAAGCTTTGCAGATGCACTGGACTACGTGTCTATATCCTGAGATAGCTAGTCGAAGGCATGAAGAGTACTCTGTCAAGGATATACATCATTGGTTATTGGTTCGTCGGTTACGTTGTAGTCTATCTGTTTTACCCGAGGAGCATGTATATTGGTAGAAGCTTCCGTCATCATATGGATCACAGAAGGGCATTAGTCATAGGTTGCTACTTTGGGGTTGATGGAGCAAGCAGGTGCTTTTAAGGAACTGTTGAAAGGGGTTTAGTCATAGTGGTCTTACATGATCATATCTAGTCTACCAAGCTTCATCTCCAATTCCAGCAAAGGGCTGCCATGATCACACTAGATAGACAGTCTGCGGCTCACAATCATCGAAGACCGGGGTGAGGCCAAAATCATAAAAATGTTCGTAGAAGCCAATCCGCTTGAACTGCAATCTCGTCTGATGTGGACACTTCAGCAGCACCAATCCGGCAGACTGGACCCCATCTTCGTACCTAACAGGCTCCGACCATACTTTCCCATCACCTCTCGATACGATCATCAGGTAGACTTCCTGTTCCTCAAGATAGCACCCTGCATGATCCAGGAATATAGTCTCACTGTGACTTTCATCAGAACCGCCGGACACATGGACATATCGCAATTGAAACTTTTTATTTTCCTCCTCAGGATCACGGTTCTTCAGTCCAGGGAAAGCCCACAGCATGCCTTCTGGTATTGGCTGAAAGCGAGCCTCCATCCGGGCCGCTCTAATCTTCGCTCTGAGCTTCACATATCCCCGGTCCCCTTGGTCGACTGCCAGTTGCCCATAACTGTCTCCCGCGTACTGCGGGATTATATCGTGACCGAGAACCTCAATTTCCGGTCTCGGGTTATAGAGATTACTTGCAAGAAACTCAACCGCCCCATCATTGGCACACCACGACCACGTCGGCGCTCGATAATATTTCGTTGGGATCATTGGACGACGTTCTCTTTCCCCAAACCACCGATCCATCCCAGGACTCATCGCGTTACGGGTGGCCCAAAGAAGTCCAGAGGCCAGATCCTGGACCCATAATCCGACAAGGTACTCATCGTTCAATGCCAAAGCGTGAGTGCGCGCGATGCCGGCAACCGCGGGTAATTTGTCGCTTGGTACGGTGAGATCGCGACAGGTATAGTCTTCCACGATTTTGTACCAGGCTTTGTATAATTCTGTTTTGTCGGGACCTTCTGCGCCCGTCGACGATGATGTTCCGCCGATCTCTAGTTTATCTAGTGACTTGTGGCGTCGGGGCCGTTTGGCCAGATCGATATCGCGCCCATAATCTTTTGGTGAGGGGCAGGTAAATAAGCCTAGACCGAGCATATCAGTTACTCCGATGTAGAGTTTTCGTGGTGATAGGAGTCGTTCCTGCAGGGTCCAGCCGCGGGTATTCCATACTGACGAGTCCAGTTCATCTTCGGCCGCTAGGTATGGGTTCCAGAAAAGGTGATCCAGCTCGCCCTTGTAAGATGACGGTTCGATAAAGAATGAGCCGTGAATTCCAGGGTGGTTCTCGATGGAGTATGTAATGGGAACCAGAGATTCAGATTCGCATACAGTTCGATCAAAGACTTTCTGAAGGGGTGTATCCGTGGCAGTCAAGTAAATTGTCAGGTATGATGACATATATATGCTGTGCATTTTGGTCGACTCCGAGGCCCAATCGCGTCGGGACTGGTCCTGTTGAATCTCAAGAAGACCCTTCTCTTTGGTTCTCGTTTCTTTTTGGATGATGCAGAGACTGTCGATCCACAAATTGGAAATGCCCAATGCGCAGCATATGTCAACGACGTCTCTGAAACCAGGCGGTAGAGTCGCTGTGGGGTCATCTGCTGAGAATGGTGATAGTGGGATATCTTGGTAATGCGCTTGTAGGTTGCTGGGAGTTGTGGCGAGGAACTCGTCGGAGCCCCAGCGGTAGCTGAGTGCAGCATACTTTGGAACGTTGGAGGCATCTTGACAGTTTGAACCATGACTTTTCAGATCTTTGGTTTCCACTAAGCGTAGCTTTTTCCCTTGCTGGTCTTGAGTGATTTCGATAAGCCGGAGAGGCAACCTGTCGGCTATGGACTCCTCATGGTGAATAATGCTGGAGGCATGATTATGATGCTGGTCGCATTCAGTCAAATGGTCTCGAATTGTCTTTGTGTTTTCACTGGATAGCCTGTCTTGATCGGGATGGGGATATGCGATGCCTAGATAGCGTGCAAGGGGGTCATCTAATCGCAGTTAGCGTACAGACTATCTCAGTTGGAAGCCCATATAATTTAGACCACGGTAAGAAAAAATGACGATAACCTACCAGAATGTGCACGTAGCTTGAAATAAATCAGGCCATCGGGCCCAGTCATGTCGCCCGCAAATCGATCCTGTCCTGGTCTGAGAAGATCCCATTCGATTATGATTGCGGCGAATTTACTTCTCTCGTTGTCCGAGGCTCTGAATTCTGCCATCAGTGAAACCTTGACCACCTTGACTGTGGAGTATTTACGATCGTGCTCTTCCGGGGACCAGCTGCGAAGACGACGTTCGCTAATGCCATTCAGCAGCGATCTCCGGAGCGCTAGGCAGAACGAGCATCCTGCCTCGCCTGACGCCCTGAGAGCCGGTAACTCGGGGAGGTCATCACGATAGTCAAATTCGATAGGAACGGAATGTTGCCCAGCTGGGAATTGCAGGTGGGGTCCGCTGGATTCTGATCCAACTTCGGTGAAGCCGTACCTCGCTAGGGACTCGGCGCTCAAGTATAGAAATTTGCATCTGCTGCAAAGGGCGGATGGCATTTTCCATAGGAGGAAATTGACACCTGACTTGGTTCAAGGGGATTGATGTGAAAAACATCATGAACGACGTTCACCTTCCGCACCAGATGAGGAGAGGTGGGGTAAATCGATATTTAGTCTCCGAACGACGATTTCGACAATGATCTACTCTTCAGGAAAGACACGTGGCAGGCGTGTGTGGCAGCAGATGGACTGATGCAGCTTGTTGCCTTCAATTTAAACCTTGGTATATCTGGGGTTCGGCAGACAGACAGAAATGTTGAATTATCTTGTGTTGCGTATAAATAGACATGTGCTATCAATTCACATGTGCATAAAGTGGTGATGTGCATTGCACATATTAATAATCATGGGTATTCATAACACTTTATGCTATAATGTTTCAAATTGCCGAGTGACTGCGCCATTCTCATGCACTGTCCAACTGCACCCGAGGATGGCAATTCCATTCCCAGCATATCTGCCAAGCCACTGTGGCAGAGATATTGACTCTCGTAATAGTGGAATGGTGGGTGATAAGTTAGTGCCATAAATAGCACAATTGACGGAGAATTTCCTGTAGTCTAGTGCTTACCTTGTTATCCCTGCTAGTAAGCATCCCGACCGGGCTTGCAGAACAGAGTTTGCTTTCACTTTTGACAAAAGCCTAAATACGACCTACGCCTCTAAAGGCCCCCCCCTATCTGTGCTCAACTTCTTCGGAAATGCTCGGAATCTATTGTAGTAAATACTAATGGACCACTTAGTTGAATGGAACTCCGGAACGCTGGATCTGCCTGAGCAGCGATCGGCAAAAATCTTCTTGAGCCTACCAGAAAGATGCCAAAAGGAGCCTGGCACGTGAGTAATCGAAGCCCAAAACGAGCCTTGCGAGTCGACTAATGTAGATAACCATTGGTTAAGCTCCACTATATCGGTGGACCCAGAGAGGCTTAGCCAGGAAAAAAGCATGTTTAGCTTCTTCTCGATAGGGTCTGTCTGCCTGGCCGGACCCCGATCCATGCCCAGTCAACCCGACAATCAACGGAACTCAGGGGACCTCTCGAGGGGTTCAGCCCTACTAGGCCCATTGTTCACCCACTTGACTTGCAACTCATTAGCAATGATCTTTGGATTTTGCCAGTGGTCTCATGTACCCCTTATTTCCTGGCCCCGATTAGCGGTGTCCGGCTTGATCCTAAACTGGGATCCACGTATGCACCGGGGCCAAACGTTCCTCCTAGTCGCTGATGAATTAATTTAAACACCACTTTAAAAACATGTCATCCCCCCCGGTCATGACGCGAGGCCCATCAGGTTCCGGCCTTGCATGTTTGCCCGCTGCCAACGTCATCCGTGCAGGCAGAAGCAATCCTCTGCACGGAACTTGCTCGGTATATTCCCGCACACAACCCATGCTCCTTCGGCTGAATTCTTCGTTGCACAATGACTTGGGATGAGTCCAGGAAGCTGCTCTCGCACAATATGAGCCAATTCGCGGCTATCCGGAGCCAGCGAGGCTTTCGGATCATCTTCGCGGCCGTCGCAGTCATATTTGCACTTTCCATCTTCATGCTGCTTCCGCCAGCATCAACAACGACCAAAGTTCTCGGATTCGGGCAGGGACAGAAGCCCACGACTCAGTCATCTTCAGCTGAGGCTATCACGATAGATACTAGCCTTATCACCGATCTATCGCAATACTTTGCGGACTATCCCATCCAGAAACCCTTCAAAGAGAAGTTCGGCGAGCTAGGCCGCCGCAACCGAGTTCTTCGCGACTGGCTCATTCAAACCGAAACCTCCCAGGACTCTACCACCCAGTCCATCTTACGCAACGCGATTGAAGAAGTCGCCATCGCGCAATACCCTTTCCTGCAACCTCCCAAGCAGACTCAGTCCCACCAATCTAGATCTTCCCGTCACCCAGTACAAGACCTCCGCGCTTCCTTCGAGCCCAAATCTACCGGTATTGTCATCCCAACCAGCGACCACACCCTCCGTTATGCCGCTCACCTTATTGCCTCTCTTCGCTCTGTCCTCAACTCTACTTTGCCTATCCAAGTTGTCTACGCAGGCGATGACGACCTCTCCCCTACGAACCGGAACCACCTGTTGACTCTGTCTGCCTCTGGTCCCGCCATTACCTTCCTCAACATCCTCACCGTCTTCGATGACACAACCCTCAAGTTGAAAACAGGCGGTTGGGCCATAAAACCCTTCGCGGCATTGGCTTCCCCTTTCGAGAAAGTTATTCTTGCAGATGCCGATGCTGTCTTCCTACAACCCCCGGAAGCACTCCTCCAGCATGACGCCTTCGTCAACAAAGGCGCGCTTCTTTTCCACGATCGTCTCCTTTGGAAGCACGCTTTCGAGGGCCGTCACGAGTGGTGGCGGGATCAGATACGCCGACCTAGTAAGGAGATGGACGCCTCTCTTGTCTGGACGGAAGATTACGCCGAAGAAGCAGACTCGGGTCTCGTGGTGCTCGACAAAAGTAGGCCGGATACGTTCATGGGACTGTTGCATATTTGCTGGCAGAATACGTACGACGTGCGGGAGGAGACGACGTATAAGATCACGTATGGGGATAAGGAGAGCTGGTGGTTGGGATTGGAGTTAGCTGGCGCTGAATATGAGTTCTCGAAGCACTACGGAGGCGTCGTCGGGTGGGAGAATGTTGATGATAAGGAAAGAGTCGGTGTATGTAGTTTTGTGATAGCGCATGTGGATGCCAAGGGGCGGCTGCTGTGGTATAATGGCAGTTTGTTGAAGAACAAGGGACAGGTTGGTATGGAGGATGTCTATGAGGTTCCGAACAAATGGATGATCGATGCGGAGTGGGTTAAAGGGGCGAGGAAACAGGATCATAGTTGTATGGTCGGTGGTGAGGTCAGGGAGCTTACAAGGGACGAGTTGGATGTGCTGCAGAGGTCGATTGCTGCCGCAAGGCAGGTGGATACGCTGGTGCGTACAAGCTGACCTTATATAATATTTATAGATTTACGTTGCTACTAGGCTATCTCGGGGTTTTTAATTCAGCGATATACCCACTGATTTTGCATGAAATCATGCCTTCTTGCAGGCGTCGTCGTGACGATCGACCTGTTAAAGTCTGCTGTCACTTTTGGCTGTAGAAGTGCTAAGTCTGTCTCGTAATCATAATACACCCTATGCCGGCGTGACTACGTGAAGAAAGCACATATTGTGTCATTCATCCCATCTTACGCTTGATATCAAACAACTGAGCTAGTTAATTAATGTGCGTGAAGCTCAGGAGCAGACTTCCCCACGTTAATAGAATAATTGATGTGAAGAGTTTGATTGCTCCATAACCCAAACCTCATGACACTCATAGAAGAGCATGGAGCTGACTTGCGCTTCGTGAATAACCAGCATCACCACGGCGTAATTCCATGCGAGCCGTATTGAATCAATTACATCCCGTCACCGTCCTTGCAGATTTATTCAGTAATTAAATGCCTTTGTTGCTCTATATAAAGCCCGTAGTCCTCCCTCATCCTGTCCCTTTCTCTTCTTCCTAACCACTCATACGGATCACAAATGACTCTTTCTCAGTGGCCAAAGATATCCTCTGAACAATTTCTTTCTCCATGAATTATCACTTGTCATATATCTATTATCTGCCAATCTTAGCCAGCACTTACTCTTTGGCACTGCCTACTTAACTTTTACGGCACAATATAAATCAGTTGCAATGCCGACTTCAGTCGTCAACTAATCAGTCGTCAACTAAGCCTCGTCATACCAAAGATATCCTGACACTTCTCTCAGACGGCCCTCAATCTTACCTACCCTCTTTTACGGTGTCTAAGACATTAATATATGAGCGATATAAAGCAGTACTCAGGGATACCATGCACGGTATCCTTCAGACAGACATTATATAATTTTCATATGTGACAAAATCCGGGTCACAAGGCAACAAACAGCAGACACTTGAGCTCATAATACTTTCCGAAAATCGAAGAGGAGTAAAGGCAAGTACGCCTCCTCTTCGCTACCATCATGAGCTCTCATCTGTACTCTTACAGTGTCTAATTACTCCTTGACGATATTAAACGAATTAAGATACTCGTTGCGATGCACAACTAGTGAGATTGGGGTCCACAACAGACACAAGAGTCCTTCCGTCTCATTCGGTTGATCGCCGTTATATACTGTCGCGGACACGTCGCTGGCGTCAGGGTTATACTATGATCTGAAAGCAAGAAGAACGCGTGCACTATCCTTCCAATGCTTGAAAACGGTCGGCAATGTGGTACAACTGCTGAACCACAAAGAAGGTACCGAGCAGTTCGAGAAGAATGATTTTATTCATATCGTCAAATGCGAGATCACATCTGCCATGACTGGTATAATCATTCTCCCTGTAACGATCGACCGTTATATAATGATCTGCCTCGATGAAATGGAATCTGCCGTTGGTCCGTCTGCGACTGCCCAAAAGAGATGGATCTCGCCGACAACACTTTATCCCTCATGCGTGTCTTGGGCGACTGGGTTTGGCTTCACGTCTGCTCCGCTACAACCGACGCTAGTCCAGACCGGTACTTTCCGACAATACGTCCTATCAGGGCAGCAGATTATGTCTCTCAGGGACCATGTATAGCTATATACTCACTAGCAGCAGTGAGTCACCATGTTAGACGAAAAGGTCTTTCGGTCGCTCAGATCATTTGGTTATTGCCCTTCTGGGTCAAGACCTGATGAGTAAGACATGTCCCAGTATGTGCCTGTTTTGGTGCGCTACCTCGGCCTAACGGAAACAGAGGAAAGGTCTTAGAATCTAATACTTCATTGCTGAGGTTGAGGTCCTTAACCAGGTCCCTCTAACCCTGTCATAATGCCCACTCTGGGAAACGCCGTTGTACATGCAGCTTCTGCTGTTCAGACTTCGGACCATTTCACTGCTGCAACATATACTTTCTACTGACACGTCTAATGATCTGGTGACTCCTATATCGTGTTTCCTATTGAATGAGAAGAAGGAGGGATTGAACAAGAATCTCTATGGCCTTATTCCTACAGCGCTTGGCGACATGTGAAACCAAGCTCCCAGAACGGTATGACTCAGATGAGTGGCGTCGCCTGTCAGTACACCAGGCAAGATCTACCTGGCGGCTGCGGCTTAACCAACCCCTTTGAACTCTTTGGTCATCTTCCGGAGTGCAGGACAGCAAAGCACAAAAATCAGTTCTAAATGCAGATATGAGTTGTGGCCATTGCTGGGTCAATGGTAGCCTGGGTAGGTCTTCCCTCCATTTCGGTGTGGTTCCTAGCTAAGTTACAATAGAGACATGGCACGGCTTCTGAAAAACAAAATCCAGGGGGTATGTGACTTTGGAGAGACCAATCATTGTGTTAGCTACGGACTCTAACAGGTGTTGATCCTCTTAGCTCTTGAAACGATTGTATTCAGTTTCAAGAATGAAGGAAACGATCATAACCTACTACATCGACTCGGCGCCTTAAGCGACTCGGATGAAATCAGCAGAGCGTACCATCACGCCTGCAATTAGACTGTGCTGAAAAACAGTACTTTAACGCTCACAGTGTGGCCGGGATAGACTGGAATACTGTCGAATGGCTTAACGGTATTACTCTCTTTGCTAGTAGCATTAAGGTAAATAGAAATATGGATAATCGGCCTTTGGTTCTGCTCGAAGTCCAAGTGCCCGAACCGTCTTTCGGCGACAGAACATACAGACTTGGACTGACTGGCAACGGAGACCGGGTGATTCACTTTGTGAAAATCTTCACGATAGACCACAGGTCCGGGCCAGTCTGTTACTAATGGCTACATGCATATGGACCTAGATACATTTGGCGAGTGTTACCATGACGGTCTGTTCTTCAATTATTCCACTCTTCTTAACAGATCATCCTACACAAATATCACAACTCCCTCCTATCCTCCTCATGCATGGCCACCTATACAGCTTATGTGATAGAAAGGCAACATCAATGTCTCTAATATTCGGGTCTCTACTTCCTCATTGCACAACAGATCTCATGGAGAAGTTCATGGACACGTACGCAAACTTACGGTAACATTTGCCGGTTGACTCAAGCAGCGCGTCTTTTCCTACCCATGCAGCAGATCCAAGCCACTTCCGATGGATATCTAGTGTGGAGCAGCGATACTGTGTCTAAATCTCTCCGGGATACGCGTCAAAGCCTCCAGAAATAGCTCTGAAACGGAGATTGAGCCGGTGGTGCGCTTTTGC